AATATGTGCCATTTTTCCAGTTTCGGCAGGCACGCAATTTGTGTCGAGTGGACCGAACTTCAATCAATCCTAGAAAAATTCAATTAGAATTTTTTATCAAATAAAACTCATTTTAGTGATTCACTAGGTAAGGGCTTCGAAATCCCAGCTTATGAGAAAAATCGAATTTGAAAAGTAAAATCAGTGCCGGGTTTTACAGAGACAGCCTCTTAAATCTTTCGATATATGGCTTTGAACATACCAGTAAATCGATCAATAAAATTAAATTCTCGGTTACTACTTGCACGTAAGGTGAACGGAAAACGCGCGGCCACGTTCAAACATCACAGGAGCGTAATCTGAGGAGTGAAGTTTGCCTTTTTGGTGTATGCGTTCTATCACGAAATGTTTGGTGCTAATTACACCTGATCGTATTTTCTCAGTACGCTTTCGCGGCATATCAGGAGAGTTTGGTCCAACCATGGTTCGTATTTTTGCGAGATGGAGTCGAGCTGAAATACTAAAGACGAGAGCCATCAGGCCGGATATACTGCCGAAGCGTACCAGAAAGACACAATTAGGTATTTACCACACCCAAGTTCGCCCCAAAGTTTGACTATGTCAGGTTAGCAACTTGATATCGCAGCACAGTAGATAGGGCTTCTTATTGGCTAACAGCTAATTTTAGGTGTTTAAATGCAGTACGTGTTTGCATATTCCAACGGGTCTTTGAGCAAACATGACCCAGCTAGATACAGTTTCATAAAAGACACCTTGATATGCATAAATTTCTTGACGGAAAAAAAAAAAAAAAAGTTAACAACTCTGCAGTATGTCAAGTTTCGCAAGAATGGCTTTATTAAAGATAATGAAACCGTTAAGTCCCTTAAAAGTCGCATAACTCTATAAAAGTGATCCCCAATAAAGAAAATTTAATCAACAAAAAAATCAACAACACGCAACCAGGAACAGATTAGTCTAAATATAGTTAACCATATTATAGCTTGCTTACAAATGGGTAAAGTGGTTTGGTCCCGCGAATTCTCAATTCTCAATCATTATTAGAAATACGAATTAATTTTCTGGACAACTGATGCACACTTCCATTCAGGTCTGTTTTAAGAATCTGCTAATATGTCAAGACAGTGTTTCCTGGAATGAGTAGAATTACCGTCACGGTTTAGTAAAGAGACAATTTTTGTTCCTAAATAATGAATAGAAAAAGTCGAGTGAGTCATCAAAATTCAAAGGAGAAAAAGCTAGATACAACACCCAGTTCAAGGGAACAGGCATTAAAGACTCTGTCCCATAGCGTGTGTTCACACATACTATGCGAAACTAAAAAACTACAATGTTCCAATAAGTAAACTACGCTAAAACTCGGCGAAAATCTGTTCGAAAATTAAGGGTCACAAAAAAGGTAACTAAAATAGTGTGGAGGGCGAGACAACAGTGACCCGTAGAAATTCATACTAATATACAACTAGTTTGAAAGTAAGTGTTTCCTTATAGTTATAAAGTGGAGAGGAATCAAACATTCTTATTTAGCGCTGACTTTGGATAAACTAACATAATTGGTGGGTGTGAAGCAATCTATACTGATCCATTATTTTCGTCAAGGTAAATTAGGTCTCTATATTTACGAATGACAGCGATTTCACAGCAATTTTAAGTAGACTTTTAGTTTCTGGGCAAAAGAACTAAGTTGTGTCTGAAAGGTGAAATCTAAACTTACCTAGCTACAATCACCTGCTTCTTAACGCTACAGAAAGTGAGTTCCCTTTTGTTAAAAATTAGACCATAAAAAAACTACAGGCAAATTTCTTGCAAAAATAGTCAAATGTCACAGAAACAGACTGGTGAAAATGGCTGCTTTCGATATAACAAAGAAAACCTGCAAGTTGTAATTAATCACGCACGTTTATTAATTAATTGTAAATAAGTTTATACTTGGGTAAGAAAAGGCTACTTGCTAAGCTTTTGCAACTAACAGTGAAATCTAACAGAAGCATCGGGGTAAATCGCTCCATGGCTCTGTAATTTTGACTGAATAACAAGGATCAGTAAAGTTGCAACTAAGCAAGTTTGTTGTAAATATATTTCATGATACTTGTGTCAAAAAGTACGAACTGAATTCGAACAACAAGTGGTCAAAATGTTATAGCTAGAAAAATTAACACACGTGTTTGCCACTACAATTCTAACTGGTTAACAAAGTCACAGCAAATACAGCTTCTATCATGTTGTAAAATGCTTTTAGATCGGAACAATCAGTGAATTCCAAGTTGTAAACTCGTCGGCCTGTTATGACGGACGCAACTTGTCCCAGGTTCCCACTNAAAATTAGACCATAAAAAAACTACAGGCAAATTTCTTGCAAAAATAGTCGAATGTCACAGAAACAGACTGGTGAAAATGACTGCTTTCGATATGACAAAGAGAACCTGCAAGTTGTAATTAATCACGCACATTTATTAATTAATTGTAAATAAGTTTATGCTTGGGTAAGAAAAGGCTACTTGCTAAGCTTTTGCAACTAACAGTGAAATCTAACAGAAGCATCGCTTCATGGCTCTGTCATTTTGATTGAATCACAAGGATCAGTAAAGTTGCAACTAAGCAAGTTTGTTGTAAATATATTTCATGATACTTGTGTCAAAAAGTACGAACTGAATTCGAACAACAAATGGTCAAAATGTTATAGCTAGAAAAATTAACACACGTGTTTGCCACTACAATTCTAACTGGTAAACAAAGTCACAGCAAATACAGCTTCTATCATGGTGTAAAATGCTTTTAAATCGGAATAATCAGTGAATTCCAAGTTGTAAACTCGTCGGCCTGTTATGACGGACGCAACCTGTCCCAGGTTCCCACTTTGATTAGCTCCAACTCTTCGCTTGCGCCAGGCATACTTCTGGGCACTGGAGACAAGTCGTCCTGGCTGCACCATGCGGAGACCTGAAAAGAAAAGATTCTTGTGAGAAAATGCTTTCTAAAAGAAGTAACTTATCGATATATAAACAAATCTGAAGACACCCTGTTTGAAAACAGCACGTACATGTACTTAAAGAAGACGTAATTGACGGGCGTTTTGCACAGGCCGGGTTATGTAAACACGAGTTAGTGGTATGTTTGGATTTTAGTGTTGGATTTATTTTGGCATATCTTTATTTATGCTGGCCGTTCTTGTCTGCAAAGTCTCGTGAATTGAAATTTTTCCAACCGATCATTGCATCAAGCTATGTGAACATGCGCTATTTTATATTCAGTCTTGAAATAGAGTTCATAAGGGAAAAGCAAGGGGGAAAAAAGATAAAAAACATTACGTAAAATTGAACAGCCCGTTGCTTAGCATAAATAACAGCTTTACTTGTTTTGTTACCTTCCAGGTCAATTATCTTTTTGGTTTTCTCATTCTCCTCTGTTCCTCCTTCCTCAATTGTTGACCTCAATTCAAGTTTGTGAGCATCCTCGGTGAAGAAAAGTTCTCCAAAGTGTGGCCATTTGTTGCCTAAAATGGAAGGGGGTTAAATGTGTAATAAATAACACAGGATCAATAAATATATGCTATCTGCGATTTTCAAAGGCTGAAATAATCGTAGAAAACGTTCTCTTTGTTTAAGGATTTATATACTTATGAAAAACAGGATTGAAAGAGAGATGAAAAACCTCATAGTCTTTTTGCACTTTAAATTGTCGAACTGAAAAGAGCATTGCTCGACGATCCAAATATGGCAGTAAGTATATACCACATGTTCCAACAAGAAAGATGGAAACATTTGAGTCACACTGGTAAACGTGACCCTCACGTTCCTAAATCTGTCGATAATACAACCCACATCCATTTCTAGTGCAATACTGTAGGATTTTCTTTAACTTAGGTTGCCCTCGGTGTGTAAAAATTCAGTGCATCTTCATTTAAGTCCCTCTCAAATGATACGAGGGAATTTTTGGAAGTGGAGTAAAAACTATCAGCTAACTGACGCTGTCGCAGCAAATTACCTTTCTTTGAGTGAAGGAATACTTTTACTCCGCTGCAAAACTTTTCCACGGCTCGTCTTTGATGGAATGTTCTTGTAGGTCTGGGGAATTCGGGGAACAACATCCGGTAGTTGAATGCGAGTGCTGATGCTAGGATACTGCCTGTCACGTGAGCATGGGGTAACTCACTCAAGGAGTAATGGTCGCCAGGGCAAACGAGCATGGTTGTGCCTCCATCTACCAGCTGGCCCCATACTTCCTCAGCGCCATATACCGAAGAAATCTCGCCCATGAAGCGGTCGCTTTGGGCTTTGAGGTAGGTGAGAGCACCACGATAGCGGACCTAAAGATCGAAAGAAGAGGTTACTTATGATTTAACATGCTACCCATCCAAGAAATGCTATTTCTACGATATGGTTAGCTCAGTTGGTAGAGCGCTAGCGCCAGACTGCTGTGCGGAAGGCCGAGGGTTCGAACTCCAGACCGGACCAAAACTCAGGGTCTTAAATAACTGACGAGAATGTGCTACCTTTGTAATTACATCTGCAAATTGATAGACATTCAAGTCTTCTCGGATAAGGACTATACACTGAAGGCCACGTCTCCTGCCTCTTAAGCGTTATGTGGTTAGCAGGGGACGTTAAAGAACCCACGCACTTATCGCAAAGAGTAGGTCACGGAGTTCCCGGTGTTGTGGTCTGGCCTTTTCTCACGGGTTGGTGCTTCACATGGAGTTAACCGCATTGCGTCTTTTCCCCGTGGAAAAGAATTGTCCAAGAAAAATGGTTACGTCTATGTCTTATACTGTTGGAAGTTCTGCGTCAAGGCGTTAATTGTATTAGTTGTTCCTTACACGACTCCGTTATATTGGGTTGAATCAATACAAATCAATTGTCCCATACCTCAGCAGGCTGCCATTCTTTGAATGTTCTAAAAGAAACGATCTGGTTTTTTAGAAGAGCTTCCCTGAGTGCCCTCAAATTGTAGTTAGCGAAACCCTTCTCAACGCTTCGTCTCTGCAGTTCATCTATGACCCAGTCTTGAGTGTGCATCTCCCTCAAGGTTTTGAATTCGTCAGCCTCCATCTTTAAAGAATCTACGGCCAGTTTTGTCAGAAAGTTCTCAAAAGAAAGCTGTCAGGAAAACAACGAATCTATTAATTTTTATTTGCTCATCGATTATTGGCATATATGCAGACGTTTTTATTAACCTTAAACAATAGGAAATAGCGCTAGCTTACTGGATGACGTGGCGAATGTATACAAGACACATGTGAACTGCGGTTGATACATAAAACGAAAAGGTTTGTTGGATTCGAAATACCGGCGCGTTGCTCTACCCAACTGAGGTACGAAGCGTTGATAATGCGCACAAGGTAACAAGGCTTCACAGCTCAGTTGCTACCCGGAAGTACGCACCGGTATTGCAGGGATCATGGGTTCCGTAGCCTTCAGACGGTACCTATGAACTTCCTTGCCATTTATGTATAACCATATAACTATTTTTCTCTTTCTTATTCTAACGTATTATTACCAGCAACCTAAGAGGAAGTGTTCAATTTTGTTACTCAGTTGGATTTTGTTCTTCGATAAGTTAGTTTCCCTTACAGGATGATATTGAATTAGCCAGGTAATCACTATCTTAGTTTTGCTATGAGCACTTTCCCACGAACCTGAACCTGTCGACGTTGAAATTGTTGATCAGCAACCATGGAAACCAGTCTATTGCTGACAGTCCGCGAGCGCGGATACCAAGGAAATGTGTCAATCATGGCTACAAACTCCACCCTCTGGTTCTGCTCTGTCAACAACGACGCCATTTCGTAGGCAACAAGCCCACCGTAGGAATATCCGCCAAGAAAGTACGGTCCATGACGCTGCTCCTCGCTGATCAGTTGAACGTAATGTGCAGCAAGTTCACGGACTCCACCCCAGTCCCTACTCACTGCTGTTGGGTCAGTATAGCCCAGTGCATAGAAGGATACCAAATCCTAATATGGGGTAAGGAAAAATGTCCATTTAACAAATTGACGTCAGTTTTTCATGCGTCTGTCCTGTTATTGATCATGAATTTCGCATTAACATTGTTAAAATAGCTGTGGATCCACGACGCGATAGCCGACTGGATCCGCAGGCTACTTTGACAATATTATGACGAAATTCATTGTCAATAACAGGGCAGACGATTGAAAAACTGATGTCAATTTGTTTTTTACAATAAAAAATTCGTCAAATTGTCCGCTCTCGCTTGTCGCGTCAACATCTCATAAATTATAAATTCACGAGTCGTTCTTCTTATCCACAATGAAAAATAGCCAATGAGCACGCGCGAATTTCTGCAGTTATTGTAAAAATTACACTCACACACATAAAACAAGCGGCCCCATGCCCCACTGGGGGCAATGAGAATTGGTGATGACACATAAAACAAATAGCTGAACGTGACACTGTCGGGTTAACGGAAATCACCCTTTGGCCAATTTCTTCCAAAGTGTGGTCCACTTTGCTCCAAATCATTTTTATTGGCTGCTTTCAGGTAGCTAAAACGTGTATCACATGTGGGCCAATTGCAATTCGTTGTTTGAAGAGCCGATAGTGCAGCGTTTGCCTGGCAAGTTACAATGGTATAAAACTAACCTTCACTGTCAGTCAACATACCTCACTTAGAAGTGGCTGTTAGAGTTAATACCCTTTTAAATACTTAAGAACTGATTAAATAAGGTTGCACACCATGTACGTCATTCGAGTGTTAAAACGAAGGTTTTATTGGTAGATCGAGTATTGAGTGGAAAAAATGGAACAGGAAGCTGGAGCTTTTCTTGTGCGGAAACAAAGTACAATGTACAAGAGCCAACTACGTAGGGGGTATCGTTGCTTTCGGTATATACGAGATGTAGGGAGACAAGTAGAAGTAGAATGATGAATATGAGACTTGAACGAAATAGAAATAACGTCAATACATATTAGTTGGGAGTCACCTGGCCTTCAAATCCCGTAGAAATCGCTGCCAGATTTAACGCATAATGGTGTGACGGATGTACACAGAAGAACTTGATAGCTGCGCCCGCAGGAGTGTACAGCGGTACAACTTGAATCTGACTCTCTGACATGACAGCAGATCGGGATGCGTCGGTCAGTGCAGGCTGTGTTTGCGCAGGCTCATTTTCTAGGTTGACGTTATTTTGAAGTTGTTCACCAGGTGCTTCTCCGCCAAGCTTGGCCATGACGTCTTTTGCAATTTTAAGTACGGTCGTATCAGGCTGCATAAAGTAGAAAATCTGAAACAAGAGCACCGTTTGTATCTCGTCAATTTGTGCAAAAAAGGTTAGTACGAAAATTCCGAAGGTGAATTGGAAGTGGTTACTCTGGTAATGGCAACTCAGATAGGTAAACCCGAGAACTGAAGTCCTCCTTAAACCAATCAGTTGGTAAGTTGATATATTTTCCCACGCCTCACTGATCATATAGCAGAAATATAGACATTAATCATCCAGTGAGTGTTATTGCAACACACCTCAAAAGCAACTTGCAAATTGGCTTCAAACTGCATTTTCAAGGTCAGTGCCCCAGCTGAGTCGAGACCATAGTTGTACAAGCTCTTGTTGAGATCTACCTCAGAACCCGAAGGCATTCCTGCC